TATTTTTCATCACAATTAGATGGACTGAAGAATCTTTTGATTTTATGGTTACTTTATTGAACTAAAATTTGTATTTAAGATCTTTCTCACGACTAATTGCGCGTGTGGTAAAGCGACTGTGAAAATTCGCTATAAAGGAACTAATCGCATTCCCGTTATGTCCAAGCCAGTTAACGGTTGACGGCCGGTCCCACATCTGGTCGGATCGCGTCTATTGGACAGTCAGACTAAAATGGATATCAGATCGGGCAGGTTGGGACCTTCAATTTTAGATCAAGGTATGAGGTGGATGGTAACGTTGGCGATCAGTCGATCAAGAAGGGAACCGCGATCAGCAAGGCAATAGATATCAATATGGCGATCGAGATCGTGATAAGTGATCGAGATCGTGATCAGTGATCAGGTATGCGATCGCGATTGTGATCATTGATCAGGTATGGGATCGCGATCAAGTTGGTGTGGAGCACACCATGTGATCCGCGATCAGCAAGGCGATCGCGATCAGGTAGCGATCGAGATCGTGATCAGGGATCAGGTATGTGATCGCGATCCGACAAGCATATCAGGTGTGGGCCACGCAACTTCAAGATCGCTACTGTCTAGAGAGAGCGATATGTGGCAAATAATGTCCAAGACATGGGGATAGGGATAGGGTTGTTGGGTTTGATTAGTTAACATTAAACAGAGTTTAATTTGCTTCAAAGTGCACGTGTCGATTTTTTCTCCGGGTTGATCATTGGCCACCCGACGTCACGGAAAGGTTTGCACACTTTGATCAAGTGATATCCCTGGACGGTTTGGCCAGGGATCAAGATCTCTCAAACAACACCCCAACTGAGACTGGACGCAGGAATCCTTTTGCGGTTGAGGACTTCATATCGCGAGACGGCTCAAGTGGTCAGAAGGCTCGCGAATCAAGGTCTACATTTGGACAAGGCGATCTATTACAGATCAGAGTGACTCACATCGAGCACCCCGCAAGCATGCAAGTGATCGCGTGACGAATTCCACGCGATCACACCAACCCCGATTGTAGTGTGAAAATTTCCACACCGTGATCAAACCTCGACCCCATCGCAAACACGATCAAGTTCTTCATTGACACTATTCCACCTGGAATAGTGCAACCCGCCCCACCTACGGGTACACAAGGTGAGGAAGTCTATCAAGAACACGGAGTCGGAGTATCCCCTCTATTAGTCAGTCGTCCGGGCGCCAGTAAAGAGTTGGGATCGACTCCTCCAAAAAGCGATCACCACTCCACCACATGCGCTTCTTTCAGCTATTAATGGCATATATTATTTATGCCCTAACATGTATCCCCGAAGATGTGGAGCGACTCAGAAATACCTTTGACTGTAGTATCGTCTTGAATTAATACTCCACAAGTATAAAACAGGAGTGTTTGATCAGTTATTATGTTTCCATACCGACAAATTTTCTTTTTAATGGCATAGAATATGATTAACTCGTCACGATATAGCTCCACGACGGCTTTGGTTTAAGGAGAGTCAACTATTGCTTCCCAACCTACAACGTTAGCAGCAAGTGGAAGCCAATTATTGTGGCCATAATTGTCTACCAGACAAAGTATTCCAGTCTAAGCGTTTTATACGTCTGCAAGCCATTATTTTTACAAATGTCACGTCGGACTCAATACTCGTGATGAGGTTGGATGGTATGTAAGCATTCGACGGTAATTCGAAAAAAAGTTGAGTGATCTAGCATGATCCTTTCGGTAAGCGATGCGATCGTAGCATCAAGATAGGGTTGGTCAATGCGTGAAATGCATCATATTTTCGCAATCTCAGGCTTAGATCTGGCGTACCACTGGATGATGCACCGAGTGTAATTTGAGCAAAGAACACTATTCTTTTGGACTTGCGCCCGTATCCGAAATGCGCAGCTACCAATAATCTTTACAGACGCTTTATGCTCAATCTTAGTTTAATGATTACTGATCTGCAGATCCTATTTTTGTGATAACATCACATTAAGAAGTTCAGAAACCTGACTGTATCCGCTCGTAACAGCGTTTTTGCATAGACGAACGGTCACATTTTAATTACGCTCATCGCACGATATTAGGAATGTATAATCTGACGAATCTTATGGCCACATTTTTTAATGCTGTCTTGTAGTAAGGCTTCAAACGACGAAAGATTACAATGATTATCATCATTACTTGAACCAACATCAGCTGTCACACACAGAGAGGTTTAGCGAATGTACAATGAATCTTGTGTGTAAAGTTCGTAAAACCTACCCACTTCTATTCTCTCGATTACAAAGCCTTTTTTAAAAATGACATGGCGAACAGCATCCACAATATTTATTTACCTTGTCATCAGTATAAGTCGCTAGAGTATGTATTGATTCAGAGAATACACGAAGGTGGAGCAGAATTCCTTCTGAAAGTTAATTTTTTGCATTTGACGTAGTTGTAGCGCGCCGATTGTGTTGGTGCTAAAGGAAGACACAGGCAGAATAATTTCTTCACATCAATCAATTGTATGTGCTAGAATATTACAAAACTGATTAGTACAGTACAGACAATTTAGCGTGGGCGCGCACTTAAGCATCTGCATCAGTCCATTAAATCACCCATAGCATTAAGGTCAGCAAACGAAGCGCTATATGCTATTGAATGGTCTGCGGATATCTAAAAATGAGAACACACTCAGCGCAAACTACCCCTGTAAAATTATCGCACAATTACAGTTAGGCACATATGCAGTTGCAAAATACGATCGGCATCGTCTTCTAGACAGGTGATGTCCTACTTGGCGTTTTTTAAGTAATTTTGGCTTACACAACAGAAACAGGTGCCAATAGCGTACACTAGACCAGATCTAGAAACACATGACAGCGCCGGCCAAAGGCGAAGCCATTTAAAGAGCTGTAGTTGCACTCTTCGAGACACGACATACCGCAAGAGAGATGACGAGGATACGTAAGCTTCCGCAAGCGTTTTTTTCTAGTACTGTCCAGCGTTCGTTTCGTTGTAATCAAGACAGCTTTATCAGCACAAAGCGTCATTTGACCGGTACATATTAAAAACCCGTGGCGAGCGGTTACTGTCTTTAATGCAGTCCTATCAACAACCAGCATTTGTTTAGACTAGCGGAATTCGACGACAAAAGGTTACGTTTCCTATAGTTCCTTTTTTAATTGGTCGACAATTAGCTCAATAATTCGATTCTTCAAGATTCCACTTTCTTCTTCGAATACAATAATGGATGAAAACGCTGTGCCGATTCGACTAGCAATATTGCAGGGTTACTGGTAAATACTGAATGTTTAGGATAGCTTCAATCAAGTGTCTAGTCATATAATTGTTAGTTAAATACGACGTCGAAGGTATTCTGAAGTCATTTTACTGATTGTTGTCGATTTGTATTTCTACACACAACGACAGTTGCTAGAGTGTAGTGGGTGAGCGGCGAGGGGACTGTGCACCGATGTCAATTTGTCTTAGAAAGCTTGGGAGAATGGCGATAAGCGATATGAATACGACAATTGCCGTAAGAAGTAGTAGTGCGCAACAACGGTAACCAAAAGGTTAGGTTTTTTAAATGTTGATTGTGAAACTGCACTCGCGTGCTAATAGCTAGTATATCGACCTTCCGATCATTACCAACAACCACACCAAAACGAAAAACAACACGTGAACAAGCGAGGAATTTGCACAAGCCATCTATTAATTCATCATGCATTTTTGATAGGCAGAGGCCAAGCTTTGCGCCAACGATGAAATTAGCAGCTCTGAATTAGTTATGTACGTGTTTTGGCATGCGATTTCAAAAGCAAAGCAATTATGTGCGTATTGTCTGGACGTCATACCTAGTTTGATGATGAACTCGGACACATCAACTTAAGGACCAGCGATTTAGTCCTATTTGTCGCAAAGTCATTTTTAAACGACTTGTTTGACAGCGTAGGTGCTTCGTTTGAAAAACATAGGAGTAAGAAGTTTATTTTTACAATGTTTTAAATAAAGTTTGGAATTTTGGAAAACAATATTACGATTACCTTTTTAGTTGATATTTTTAACAGATATTTGCGGTGGCAGATGCTCTTGCGTCAATTACCATGCGATCAATGATGAGTACACGTTCGAGCTATGTGGTCACTGCGCTTACCACTTACATCACAAGCAGTTTGCAAGATGGCCTAGTCGATCAAAGGTTCCAACCATGAAGTGTACTCCTAAATGCACAAACATTGTATCCTGTAAGATGCTGGTAATGACTTGGAGAACAATCACGGAATGTGCCGGCTGTGTTCGCTTGCCAAGAAGTAAAATGGTACTTTGTCAATGTGCCCACCGCCCTGCACGTTTTGCTGAAGCTGCGGCTCCTTGCTACACACGTTTCATACAGTCGCTCGTCCCTGCAATGTGACATAAAAGAGCTAAATTACTTCTAAAGTAAACGATAGACACAGATTCAAGAAGGGGGATTTATAGGTCGATAGCAGAGCGGAGCGCCCGTTCATAAAAAGATCTACTTCCGACAAAGGCCATTGGGTGGCTCTGCGAGTCGGACTATTATTGGTCATTCCAAAATCAGCTCGTCCGCCCCCGAAGCCCCTCGACCCCCAATCAAGCGATGCGCGTCCACCCGCCCTTCCTCCTGGCTGCTACTACGATCGCGATGTGCACCCTGAGCGCTTCAGTGGTAATCGGCTCTGAGATGGCAAAAGCCGACCGCCAAACCACTAGACCTTCCCAGGTCGGTGGCCACAACACCGTCCACGACAATCAGCGGCTGCAAACTACCCATGCCACAGATGGCGAAGAAAGGGCGCCTTCATTAGACAAAGCATCCTCGTCGCTTAAAGAACTAGGAGAAAAGCTGACGACGCTGCTGTTGGAAAAATCACACGCCATCGTAAACAACGCGCCAGTTGCACGACTGCGGGCAACATCAACCGTATACGATGCCCCCCGTTTGGAGAGATATGCCTTAGTGAAACCTGATTATCCTGGGCTGCGCAGAATGGCAGATAAAACTATCTTTGAAGGTACCGGTGTACAACGCGACGTGGTGAAAACGATTGACTTGTTTGGAAAAACGATAACAGTCAGAGCACCGAGGGATGATGTAGTGGCTCGCGTGAGAGATCCCGATGCAGAAAAAGTTTTCGGGGAGTTCAAACAAGCCCATCCGGCTTCTGATTTGTTCCAACCAAGCACATTGGACCTCTTCAAGAACGTTGTTAAAGATTTCAACACGCGTCGTTCGAAAAAGTACACGTTACTGGACGCGCTTGTGATCATGTTTGATGGTGAAGACAATCTGGCACCTGCTTTGTCAAAAGCCAAGACGGTTGCAAGTAGCCAAGATGCTGCAACAGATTTGCAGTTGGAGATGATGAACGTTTGGATTCGCGAGAAGCGTTCTGCTGATGATGTTTTCTATATACTGAAGCTCGATGAGCTGGAGAAAAGAGGCTTGAAGCGCGAGAACCTTGAGACGTTCGACGCATTCTTCGCTTTGCATTATCAACTTGGTCTTGACAACCTGAAGTATCAGTTGGATCCGGTGGAATTTTTACGATACAAGTTTGGCGAGACTATATTTTTTCGGATGATTAAGAAAGATATGGAGCATCTAGCCCACCCCAACGAGACTGTGGAAAGTTATCTAAAACTCTTGCTGAAACATAACGCATCGCTAATGAGAACTGTTGGCATGTTAGTTGCCGCGGGATTCGCGGATTCAATGGTGGTGAGATTGCTGTCAGCAAGCTACGGTGGTGTTGCTAAGTTTGAGCAAGTGCTTTTGGACGCCAAGGCCACTGCGCAACAAACGGCACGTAAAGCTACAGTCAAGGCATTGCATGCAGCTCTTGAAGACTACAAAAAAGCAAACAAGCATTCGGCTGATGGTGTCAACAACTGGCTAGAGCTTTTCAAAGACGCAGGACGCGGTCGTCCTTCTCCATCTACTGATAAAGAATCAGTCCGAAAGCGCCAGAAGACTAGATGATCTCTATTCCGGCGTTACGTCGAGAGTGACAATGACGCTTTTTGAGTTGGCCTTGACAAGCGATTGGTAAAGCAATCTGATAGTGGACGGACACAGATGCTGAAGTCGTTGTTGATGCATGGGGGCTTCGGATGAGCCGTAGCTAGCTTCGTTTGCCTTTGTAAGTTTGAATAAGACGTTAACGTGAAATTCAACACAGACTATTGTTTGACGTCGCCTCTAGGTCACAGTACTCACTTGTGTCTACGTTTTTATAGATAAACTATATGGACAATCTGTCATACTAATTCAATAGCGAACCGATCATAACATCGTTTCTCTTTTAGTTTCGTCAGTAATGCGCTGTGATGCAATTGTGCCTTCCTCCAGCAGCGTACAGCGTCACAGACAGCTAACAACGTTTTTTGGCTGTCTGTGACGCTGTCAGTTACTGCAACAAATTGTAGTTGTCATGGAAATTGACGTTTAACAAGCTATGATGTGCTTAAGTCGAAGCATGCCTGGAGGTGGTACAACCGAGGTGGCCTTGTGCTCGTTCACAAGCGCGCTTACAAGTAAAATTTCTAAATTTACAAGAAAAAACGGTGCTTCGCTGGCCGGTGCTTTCTCTACCGCTCCGGGATCTTTGGACAATCGTGATAAGTGGAAGAGTTCTCGCCTGAATTGTACGCAGTGTATCAAATGGGGCCTGTGAGCACGATGGATATTCAGGGTACAGGTAAAATTTGCAATAAGGCATGAGATATTTTACATCAGGCTATATTTAAGCAAAATACTCTCTTCCTGCAAACGCATTGGCTCTGAGATGAAATACATTAGACATACTGCCCGGTGATTGGCACGCACGGTGAGCTTTTGAATGACGTCCGTTTTGGTCGTGCTAGTGCAGGCTTGCAGTAGCGAGCCTGTATAGCACGAACTACTGCTATACACAAGTGCCTAGCTCCGTCACGTGAAATACAGTGAGCGTTATTTACGTCCACCTGAAGCTGGAGGGGTGACTTATCGCACCTAAAAAAAACTAGTTGACCTGTTCTTGCTCATCTTGGCTCGCACTTACAGCAAGCTTCAGTCAATCTTGCTCACAGGATTATTCGTGTTCGCTTTACACGGATGCTTACTATATTGTAAAAAAGCCTTCCATCAATTATTGATGCACGTTAGATGGTCCCTGTACGACGATATTAGAGTGCAAAAATGGACATCTTCAATCTCCATGCATAGCCAACACTTATTGATCTCGATTTTCCAAGTGTGCGCTCCAGCAGTTTCGTCACAAACTTGCTTTAGTAAATTAAAATTCGGCCGTGCTTGCCATTGCACGCTCTGTCGTAGCATCCACGTTCAGCGAATCTCGGGCTTGTCGGGCCGACCATGAGATGACATGGGCAAACAATCGTGTGACCTGACCGCGGATATATGGGGATCCACTGACATATATACGTTATACTCCAGCAGGGTCAATTGGCGTACTTGATCGGGCGGCAGCAAAACATTTGCCCACTCCAAGTCTTACTGGAGACACTAACCTTTTCTTAGAGTCGCTAGAAAGGTTCCATAAATAGTCCGACTCCAAACCTCGTCAGGAACGGGACATCGGAATCGAGGAAGGAGGGGATCGAGAATGTTCTCGTGGGCTGTCGATGATGATTAATGAATAAGGCGGGAGTGTGCTGGTATGCACGTCATTCGCTGCTTAAACGACCGTCTCACTGACATTGTCAATTGCTGTTGTAACGATGTTCAGCACAAAAGGGTAGGAAAAATTCGCAACTCTGATCATGTCCATCTTGAACGCACAACACCCATAACTTTGAAGGCAAGTCTTGTTTTGTACATCATCATCCCCCTCTGTACACTGTCTCTGCTTTGGGATTGTCTACTTGCGCAACAACTTGATAAGCGTGTATATAATACCAGGAAATTCTGTTGCCGCGCTCTTTAACTAACTGTCTCGAGCATCACCACAAGTGGTGTGCTCTCCATTATCGTTCGGATCGCTACTGCAACAGCATTATGACAACCATCTTCATTAAATTAAACTACATCTTGTTGGTGAACTTATTACCTGCGACTTGTTCCGGGCTTGCGCAAAGTCACGTTCTAACACTCGCAGTCACCATATTGCTCACGGACGTGTTCGGGCAAGTCGACGCATCAAAAGAAGTATTTTTGCAGGCTATAAGAAGAATGTCTTCTTGGAAATTTATGGCACATTCTTGAGCTGGTAAACTGCTCACGTTCGAAACCTGATGTTGCCTGTAATGTAGCGAGCTAAGGGTACAACTCCATACCGGGCCGCCGTATGGAGTTGTTGAGATTGATGATGAACTTGACACAAATTGGTCAAATATTTGCGCACGTATTTTCATGTGCACTGCTTCATCGCGATTCAAAGTTACCGAGTACTTTGTTGCTGATGTCAATATGCAGCCGATCACAACACTTTCTTTAGCGTCAAAAGAGGAGTCATTGACGTTGTCCAAGATAGCCGGCGAAAAGATTCTGATACAATATGAGGCGTATTGACCTTGCACGGCTTGTTTTGCGCAATCAGATTCTCCTCTTTTCACCAATTACCATCATCACTAGCCGAAACCGAAACTTGTCCGACGTGCCACCTTCATCAGCACTGTCACTTATTGGTCTTCCGTTGCTACTTCTGTATGCACCCTTATGCAGATTTATCCGAATTTCGGTTTTTGATGTCGGCGCGGAGAGTTTAGTGGCCGAGTAGTAGCCGCAGCAAAATTATCCTTTGTGATTTTATATCAATATCTAGCCTCGATTGGCAACAACGCACGATGGTGGTTTAACTCGGCAGGGCTAAAATGTCTGACTCCCATAAAACTTCTGCAATTTGATTTATGTCTTAGAGTAAAATACTTCTAACTCGTATGATCGCATACGCGACTCCGTCACAGCAATTCCCAGCAAATATAACGGCCCTAGACCACCCTAACTGAATGCTGACAGCTTTACAATTCGCTCACAAAACCGCTTTTGGCACACTGAGGAGGACTGATTCATTAGCTTCATTCGAATGGCTTTCATATTCACTCTAAACTATTTGCTACGTCCCCACAAGCCTACATGTCTCTCATTTTTATATAATTGGTGTTAGTTACATCGCTCAATATGACTGCCCATCATCGTTAATATTCTATTGGTAAATACTGACACGATCGCTGATATTGCAACAGCTATCCTTTTTCTTAAAAAGCTTTTTCCATATGGAAATGCACAATTGTGGTAGAAATATGATAAGCACAGAGTGTGACATTATTGTATTCTGTCAGCTATATACGTGTTAGATAGCAAACTATCGATGGCCAGATATGCAACATCTTGACCAGCACATGGCAGTGATTTGTGGATGGCCACACCATCTTTATTATCTAAACTTAACGATTCTCTTGGGCGTGCGGCAGATATGTTTCTCATCTGTGCGTGCGGACCTTTTGAGATACATTCAAGCGGCAAAAGATAACGCTGTTGAGTCTCTGTGCTTGTACCAGTTTGGTAAATATAGAGCACAATGGACTGGATGTCTCGATATGTCGTACCCAGCAATATTTCTCTTGGTAACATGTAGAATTGCCACAACTATATGAGCAGTAAGGCACCTAAAACTTTTTCAGTAGCATAGCTTCGTGTAGGGCTGCAATATAGCCGTTGATTACCGATCTATAAGCATCATCTTATTCCGCCAGAGGAGCATCCAGCAGTATACGCTTAAGACGTTTATCACGAGAATAGACTAGTCACTCTCCAAGTATTTATAAGTCGTTCTCCCGTAAATTATATACAGAGCTGGTGTCCATATAAGAAAATCACGGTTCCTGATTTATAATCCCAATAGCTGACTGAAGTAAAGAAGTGCCTGGTTCGCGACACGATGCCCGAATTAGCTAAATACCGCATGATCAATAGCATAGCTGCAGCATGTGTTTTCGCATTAATCACACCTTTCTGACCTCATTTTATATTAGTCTTGCCAGCCTCGTCAAAAGCAGAGTACCTTTCTCTCCTCACGAACTTTCGTAAGAATTGACTGCTACTTAGCAACCGAACATTGGCGTGCCGTTGTTATATCTATTGGCTAACCCATCCCATTCGCTAAAACTATGATCTTCTTTAAAAACAAAGTCGAAGTCGTATTATTGCATGTGCGTCAATCCACCACCACTTGTTACTGATTCTAAATAGTCGTAAATCTCCTATTCATGATTCATCGTATTCTTGATGGTAGCTTCACACCTGAATAGTGTTCTTTGCGGTGCCTATAAATTGCAGCCAAAAAACTCATAAATTTATTATAAGTTTTAATAAATCAAAATTATATGAAGCCGAAATGTTTGGTGTCAGACGAGAACCGTACAAACTATATGTCGATGGGTTCTTGTCTTTGGTCTCCATACTGACGAATAAGAAGCCCAGCTTGATTGTCATATTAAAAAAACTGCTACCCAATGTTTTATTTGAATATAAAACATAAGCAATCGGTCTTAGTTAAGCTATCGGATTATGTGAATTTAATTACTATGGCAACCGCACTATCGCCAATCGCAAATGGTTTCCACCTTTTCATTAATTTTTAGCATATTAAGTTATTTTGTATTGAATCGATCGAGGCGTAGTTTTTTGACATTCCCCGCGCACCACCTATAGCCTATAAAAATAATTTTGGCGGTTAAATGTTTACAAAAATATTTTTCATTCATGTCTGCAAGCGATAACGCCTTATAAAACGCTCTTATTGTACTGCACACAATTTATCGGTCTTTCGTACATATATGGACCAACAATAGTACTAATCACTCAACAATCACCGACATGCCGCCCTTAACAACGGCAACAGCATTTACAGGCTGGAAGACTGTTCTGAAAACGAAGACGGTTATCGATAAGCAAGAAAAGCCACAGCCAACAGTGACGAAGCGGAAGCGGGACCGAAGCGGAAGTGGGACACGCCGAGAAGATGTGGAAAGTGAAATTAA